CAGCAGTAGCAGGCGGTGGGTGCGAAGACGGTGCACCTCGCGCGCCGCCGGCATCTTGTGGCGTCAAAAACGACGGACGGGTGCTGCTGGTAATACCCTGGGCCTCTCCATCAATCTGCGTGATCCACTCTTCTTCGTTGAAGACACCCGTCTGCTTCAGCCCCCATGCGTTCTCGATTGCGTCCCATCGCTCCTTCGCAACGGAGTTGCCCGCCTTCACATGTGCCTTTATCGTCTCGAAGTGACGGTCAAGAATCAGTCCTCGTTGTTTCAACTCCGAGAGTTTGCCAAGGTCCTTCAACAACCCATGGGATAAGGGGTTGGACAGGGACATGATCCCCCTGCACGGCAGGCAACTCGTGGCACGCTGCACCACGTTGCGTGGTAAATTAAAAAAACTCGCTGGCACAGGGGCACGACGTGTGTGTTCATACAGCCGACCCCCACCTCAAAAAAAAATCTAAAAAGGGATAGTCTAGGTAGGTACCAACTACCAAACCTGGGAACGCCCCCCCCCCCGTATGTTCTTATCTGTAGCACCAGTCGTACACCTCACTTGAGGTTCTTATTCTTAACAGCAGGCCCGATCTGAGCACGTGTTCTTACGGGCAAATTCTTAAAGATTGGATTTTTTGAGGCTCAAATTCTTAACGTCCATATTATTGCTGTGCGGGCCGGTTCTGTATTACTGCGCCGGGCGCACCAAGCTCTCCAACACGCTAGCGTGTTGAGTGGCTTTGTGCGTCGGTGCCTTGGCGTGCGGGGTCCCTTGGTTGGGAAATAAAAGAGCCAGCGGCGCGGTAGCCGCCAACGGTACAGTGTAGGAACTATGATCGGCGTGACAGCCTTCTACTTCGGGATGGAGCGTGATAGCTCGGGTATGGTATCTCTGCATGTGGCGGAAGCCTGGTGACGTGATAGTCGTGGTGTAAAGCAATATGTAAGGACGTGGATGTCCGGAAGGCGTGATAGTCGGGTGGCGTGATAGCCAGGATTGGCGTGGAAGTCGTGGCGTGATAGCCGTGGTAGCGTGGTAGCCGGGGAAAAGGACTTGATTGCACACAGGAAGGAGGAAAAAGAGGGAAGAAAAACAAGCGAGAAACCACAACACACAATCATATCCGTTGTAGACACACACATACCCCCACCCTCAATCCTGTAATATATGGCAAAGTTGGTACCATCGAATCGAATCCAAAGCATCTGCTGAACCACCAAACTCCCCGCTCCATCTGCTCGGAAATTTCTTGCTTGCAATAATCTGTCGATGCTGTGAGTACGTCTAACAGCCCCCCTACTCGCTGCATTAACAAGACCACACCTGGACTTTAATATACTATCCTTGTTATCATCCCATACATACCACATACCTGACCGAAACAAAGTTTAGTGCAAGACATTCCCTTCATCCCAAACTGCATCTTTGTCACAACACTAAAACCCTTGAACCAGAAACTTTCGTTAGAATTCCCATCGGTTTGCATTATTGCCACCCATTAAACCAGAAGTACTTGCGACAATTTCCACCGGTCAATTTTGAACTCGATTTCTCAGAAAATCAAACAAATCAACACAAAAACCAAAAATCGAAAGAAAAAAAACAAAAGACACAAGACCCAAAAACGAACAAGATCTCCCGGACTATTCACTTCAAGTTCATCACGTCGTCCCGGTGGGAAACAATCTCTCTCAGGTAGCGCCTTCGTGAGGAAGTCGGCATGCTGATACTTCGACGCAACGTGGATGATCTCTACCTCCTTCTCATCTACGAGCTGCCTGAGGAAGTGATGCCGCACGTCGATGTGCTTCGAGTTGGAATTCGAGATCGGGTGTTTTGCGATCTGGATAGCCCCTTCGTTATCTTTATACAGTGGAATGCACGGCCGCAACTCCTTAGGCAACATGAAACGCCAAACCTGCCTCAAAAACAAAATTTCCTTCCCCGGTCCGCCATCGCCACGTATTCTGCCTGCGTGGTAGACAAAGTCACACACTTCTGAGTCTTGGACAACCATGCAATCGCCCCTCCTGCACACATCACTACCCCTCCCGAAACCGACCTACGGTCTGCCGCACCGGAAGCGTAGTCCGCGTCGACAAACGCAATCAAAGAAAATCCCGTAACCGTCCCCCTCTGAAAAGAAATCCCCAAAGAACTAGTCCTAACTGCATATCCTAAAATGCTAAGTGCAGCCTTCCAGTGGATCAACTTCGGTGCACTACTACAGTAGTACCTCGCCACTGCTCTCACCGAATTCGCGATATCCGGCCTAGTCAGCAAGGCAATCAACAACAGCGANTGAAAAGAAATCCCGAAAGAACTAGTCCTAACTGCATATCCTAAAATGCTAAGTGCAGCCTTCCAGTGGATCAACTTCGGTGCACTACAGTACCTCGCCACTGCTCTCACCGAATTCGCGGTATCCGGCCTAGTCAACAAGGTAATCCACAACAACAGCGAACCGACCAGCGCGCGAAAAGGGTACTCTACGCTCGGCTCGTCCAAGTCGAAGTCTCAAAGTCTCCAGGTGGTGGGCAAAGGAATGCCCCCCCCCACTCGACACCATACCTCTCTCTCAGCTCTTCGGTGTATGTCTGCTGTGAAATCGTCAGCCTGCCTGC